CACCTGGAGTCTCTTTAGAATCATTCTCCTTTTTGTCTGCCACATTGTCAGCACCCACCCCTACCTACACACACACATACACACACACACACACACATTCTTGTTCCCCTTTTATGTTAGCCTGTTAACAAGTACCATACATCTCTTCATTGACATCTGAATGATACTCATTTTCAATTCCTAAGACACGATACCATTGTATACTATGATTGCCATTCTACACAATCCATTCTAGTATTTCCATTGCAATACTGCCACGTTAGTTAAATGCAGAGTTTTGCAATTTCTGGAAGGCAATCTACTCCATTCTCCTTCTCCTATTTAATTGTAGGCCCAATTCATTTTTCATTTTCAATGTTTGTCAAAGATACTCTCACTGATGAGAGGGTTCTAAGGCTCTTCATCTAACTTTAAATCTCTCTATAAGGGCTGCCCATGTGAGAGTAGCCATTCCAAACTCCCTCATCAGATTGTCTTCTGCCCAAGGGCCAGAGCCATAGCGTGCTGTTGGGATTACAGAAATGGACAAAGGAACATTTCTGATGACCTCTAACACCAGATAGTGCCAGACTGTCTTTCCTTTGCCTTCAGATTACCAGAGGAGTGTGTATTTACAACAGGCAAGTCCACTGAAGATTAAATTCTTCACTCCTCCATGCTGGGAATGGACTGCTGCCAGGTGAATTCAGGACAGGTGACTATCACATGGGCTAGCAGCCATTAACTTATGAAACTGGGATTATTGGACTGCAGTCTCTGCTGTAATCCTAGAGAGATGTTTTATTGGTCAATGTGGGCACATGGGAATGGAAAACTGTAGCAACAGATCTGGGAGTTCTTAGCTTACCAAGCCATTGTTGTGGCCTGCATCTCTAACCAATGTGACCTAGAGGAGAAGCAAAAGAGCCAGATTGTGACTAGGAGCCAGAGAAGCTAATGGAAGAAAAAAGAACCATAACAGGCGGTGAGAGAAAGTAGCTTCTGAAAAGGTCAGCAGATAGTGAGGAAGGTGGAAGATCATCCACATCCCTCTATTCCCCTTGTTTCTTCATGGCTTCCAAATCATTGCTGGCCTAGTCCCAGACATGCAACTCCATCCCCTTGATTTTTTCATGATCTGTGAGGGATAATGAGTAATTCAGGCCTATCTCTCTGATACTCTGAAAAATAAAGCCAGGATGAGGTTATGTATAGAATGGCCCTACTGGAGGTGGCTGAGTTGAGTACTCCATGAAGACAGCACCTAAGTAATATCCTTTACTTTTTCAATGATGATAAATTATGTATCTACAGAAGGTTGATTGCCTGTGTTATATCGACATAGAAGGTGAGTCATATATTCTATAATCTCATATTTCAAAGCAATATTAATTTTTCTTATCTCCTAGTTAAATTCAGAATCCAGAAATTGGATTGGACTGCTGCTCTTTGGGACCAGCAAAAAGATAGTTAAGGTTTAACTCTCTCTACTTTTTCCTGCTTTTGCCTATAGTCAGCAGACACTCTACATTATGTTTTCTAATTATTTAAGCAATTATTCCCCTGTCCAGAGGCTTATAGTATATCTCTCTACTAAATATATCTCTATAGTATATGTCTCACTCAAACAGTACCTGGGCAGGAAAGAAGTTCTCTGTGGCTCCTTAAGCCTTTCTAAACAGGCTCAGTTCTAACTTAGCAGGGAACCAATAGTCTGTTTCTTTGCCAGGTGCCAGCTACAGAATGACTGCATGTGTTTCCAACCAGGGCCTTTCCACTGCATATCCTCAGGCTCTCCAGCCTCTTTGTCAAGGACTAGCAGCAGGCAGAGCACTTCTAGTACTCTGAGGATGGAACTCCTTTGGCTAGGCCCTGTTACATAATTAATTGCAACCAGAGGGACTGCAAAGGAATAGCCAGAGGCTTGTGATACAGAAATAAAGAGGCAGAACGAATGAATCTTTTCTATCTGACTGAGGAATAGGCGCATGTTACATCTCCTCTCCTACCTACTCTCAACCCCCAATCTCTACTAGGGGCTGAGTCAATGAAAAAGAATCTCATGATTTTTATTTTATTAATGCTTCATACCTTTTTGTTGTTGTTGATGATGTGCATAAGCTTCTAAAAGGCAGGAACAGATGAACAATGAGACACAAGACCATTCATCACTAAGCTAACGCGTTGTACGGGTAAACAGGATGCAGGTTGCTGAAATTCTGACCTTGGGAGGTGGGGATTTGGGTTTCTCTCACACACCTAAACCTTCAAACATTGCTGGATGTCACCATCTAGTGGCTGCAAGTGGGAACTTTAAAATTATTGTTTTGGGAGGGAGGGGGATTTTAAATGTCATATATTGATTTATTATTTTTTCCTTTATACCTTGAATTTAAAGTTTAATATAATTTCAGATTAGCTACTTTTAAGAAAAATTATTGGATATTAAATTTTTCAAAAATTTAATTTTGCATTTAAAATGATATGTGATTTCCTTTTGAAGTGTGTTTTTACTTTTCTGTTACACTGATTTACATTCTCTCTTTGAAGTTATCTTTGAAGTTATCAGGTTGTTGTTTTCAGTGCTGTTTTATTTTTAGATCTATTTTGTTTTGATTGATTTTGCTTTCTTTCTCTATACAATAGTTTTCATTGAGTTTGATCTATTATCATGTATTGCATCTGTATAGTAATGCTTATTATTTGATGGTGCCAAAGTGAACACTTTATAATTACCTATAATAGAATGTCATTATTGATGTAGCTATTTAGCTGTATGTTCACCTTGCTGATTCTTGCTGTTGCTGTTATTGGAGGAAAGGGAGAGGAGGAAGGGAATAAGCATTTATGTAGTGTTTACTATATGCCAGACACTGTACTAAGCGCTTTACAAATATTATTTGATGCTTGCAAGCCTGTAAGGTTGTTGTTGTTAAAGTGTTATTGTTATTGTTGCTACTATTTAGTTGTTTCAGTCCTGTCCGATTCTTTGTCACCTCATTTATAGTTTTCTTGGCAAAGACAGTAGAGTAGTTTGCCATTTCCTTCTCCAGCTCCTTTTACAAATGAGGAAACTGAGGCAAACAGGGTTAAGTGACTTGCCCAGGGTCACACAGCTAGGAAATGCTTGAGGCTGGATTTGAACTCATGAAGATGAATCTTCCTGACTCCAGGCCTGGTACTCTGTTCATTGTGCTGGATTTTTACAGTTTACAGTTTATATTTTACAGTTTACATAATTTCTTGAATGTCATTGTCATTCAATGTCTACTGTTTTTGAGCTTGGATTACTTGTTGTTCAGCTGGCAGATAATCCTCAGGTGATTACTTAAATATTGGGTTTATGGATCAATAGTATGAAAATATAAGTATGATACCATACCACAATGCTGAATCTTCACCTTCATAAAGTATTACTGATATTTGAAATAGATCTTGTGTATAAGTCTGTGATGCTCTAAATGTTTTGAAGAACAAAATTCAAGAGTTGAGGATTTGTAAAATAGTCCATTCCAGAGCAAGCCTGGTGAATGACTAGATCTGACTACTCAAACATACTTGACAAAATCTAGAAGAGATATAATACCTGAAAACTGGCTTACAGTCCTTTCTCAGTAGTAGAAGAATGCTATAGAAAACTTGTCACTTTACACAGTGCAGGGGACAACGTAGCAGAACAGCTGATAAACAAGCTCGGTTCTAGGGTTTTCACTTGTACAGGAAGTTGAGGCAAGATCTTCACCATCAAAATCAGACACTTCACTTGTGACCGAGGCTTATTCCATATTCTTTGTGTTGGAAGGAGAATACTCACTCACATGTGAGAAATACTTTCCCTGAGCCACAAGAGGGACATCAGGTGAGGGATGAATCCTCTGGGTTGCACCGATTAGCCTCACCTGAGAACCGGTTTGGATCTATTCCTTTGCAAAAGTTGACTGCTAACTGGATCTGAGGTAAAGGTTCCCCTCAAATTTGCGGAACACAGTTGGCGAGGGCTAGAGCCAATGGTAGAAAGAGACTGGACATTTCCCCAAACCCTAGAACTTGTTACAAAGGCTTGTTATGAAGGACTACTGAACTGACTTTTCACCATTGCCTCAGCTCTGCACAATTCCCTCCAGATCTATGTCTTCTTCCAAGCTAGGTCAGGAGTTTCTCTCATCCTTCTGGTGGTCATCTTCTCTAAGAAGCACTGTAGCAGTTGTTGTTCTTCCCTAAGTACTGTTGTTGTTGTTTGTCCTTTGTTCTTAAAGAGGACCACTACATCAGAGAGGTGATGCCATGGCATGCAAGTGAATTGGAATTAACTGAGGGAGGGCTGTGCAAAGTCACCAGCCTCACTGTCTTCTCTGGAGCCATCTGGCTACTGTGGTAAGCACTAGAGATGGCCCTGGATGCAGTGGCACAACATAACTTTTCAGGGGAGCTCTTTCATCAAATAATGAGATAGTCTCTGAAGAGCCATCCTCATTCATGCTCCATGGGGCATAAGGATTGGATTGGGATCCAACCCTTAATACACTTGTAAGACAAACATAGGTAAGTATAGTGTGCAAAATTATATAATGAACGTATTAGGAAGAAGCTATGTAAGGTTCAAATAAGACTACTACTAACAGAGAACTCAGCGAAAACATTGTGGATTAAGTGGCCTTTGAGTTGGGCTTTAAGTAATGGGCAAAAATTAAACAGATGAGGGAGAGGAAGGACATTCCAGGCATATGTAATGATGTGAGCAAATGCACTGAGATAAAGTGCATAACATGTTTGGCTGGCAGAGTATAGTGTAGTTTAGTTTGGCAAGAGCACTGAGTGTGGTGATAGGAGATAAGTCTGGAAAAAGTCAAGTGGTATCAAACTGTGGAGAGCCAGACTTAATACAAAGCATGGGCCTGAATTTATGCATATTTCCTCCCCAGGTCCATAGGGTATTTCCAGAGCTCTAATTGTGTAGGATTTTAGGGCTTGTATGCCTGTGTTATTCATTCATTCATTTGTTTTGTTTTTTTGATGTGTAGGAGGAAGAAAGAGAGGTATGGCCAAGAAAAAAAAGGTAGGAAGATTTTCTTCAACTGGATTTAGAAAGAAGCACCATCTTTTCTTTTCAAGGAGGTCCAAGTGTCAAATATTATCAGTCATCACTTGATTATATTATATGAGATCTGGTCATGTAATCTCAAGGTTGACACCAGCTTTATGTTTTATTTATCTAGTTTGGAGCACTAGTTGTTTTGAGAGATCAAGCTAATGTGCCCAGTATAGAGATATCTTTATCAGCCACACCCAATACATGTCATATGCTTGGCATGTTTCAACATGATATGCCACATTTTAGAACAATGCAGAATATTTTGACAAAAAGCAAAGTAAACTATACAATCTCTTGCATTCGTGTGTAAACAGAAATATGAAAGGACATTATTGTATTGCTGAACAATACTCAGAGTAGAAAATAGTCTACAAAGTTTGTTTATTGCTTGGTTTATGTCTTATATTAGCTCAAAATGCTCATGAAAGCTGCCAAAATAATATTACAAGGTTATTCTGTATAACACTTCTTTTTATCATCACAGATATCCTAGAAACTAAGCAGAATGTGTTAAAATCTCCATTAAAAAAAATAGATCATAGGGTTTAAGGCTCAGAAGGAACCTTTGAGATCATCTAGTCCAAGTTTCTTTCATTTTGCAGGTCAGATAATTCAGAAATATTATGGCTGCACATGCAAATTCTGCATCCTAATCTAGTGCTCGTTCCATAACATATATGATTTTGTAAAAATTTGCCTGAGGAATTACATTCAGTCTTCCTCTGTTCCATCTAGTCCAAACTCCTGAGTCTAGTATTTAAGACCCTTCATAATCTGATCCTAAACTATTTCCCATGTTACCTTCTGCTATTTCCCTGCTCATACCCTATGATCCCACAGAGCCAGATTACTTGTTCTTTTCAACCTCTATACCTTTGTCATAGCTTCTGACCTCAAACCTTTGTCGTTCTTCTTCCCACCTGAGATACTTGCAAAAATATCTATTGAAAATATATTTATTAAATAGATTCATCCTTATTGAAAAATAGTATTGCATTATATTTACATACCATAGATTTGTTCAGCCACTCTCTAATGGATAGGTATCCCCTCTGTTTCATTATAGGCCACACTACAAAGAGCTGCTATATTTTTGCACGTATGGGTCATTTCCTTCTTGTTTTGATTTCTTTGGGGCACAGTGCTATTTCTGGGTCCAGAGAGTATGGACAGTATAGTGACTTTTTGTCCATAGTTCCCAAATGGTTTCCTGAATGGCTGGATCAGTTTATGAAGCTAGAGATTCATGTACACTCATCACATCAGAGTTATTTGCTTACTTAAAAGGCAATGTGATATAGCAAAAAGTTTATCAGCTCTGGTCAGGTGACCTGATTTCAAATTCTAATTCAGATACTTGCCAGCTGAGTAACCTGGGGTAAAAAAAAAATTAATGTTCGTTTTCCTATCTATGAAGTGGGGGTCCTAGACTTTGTATTGGGACTCTAGAGGTAATTGAGTAAAACTTATTTTGCACATGAAAACAATGAGGTCTTCCATATGACTTTTCCAAGGACATAAAGATAATAAAGGGCAAAGCCAAAATTCAAATTCAGGTTTTCAACTCTAAATCTAACACCACTTTCGCTGTCCCAGGCTATCTCATATAATAATACTTCCACTAAATACTGTGTTCAATCATTATGAAGCAAGAACTTTGAAATTTGGAAGTCCTATGTACCTATGGGCTTTTATTACATTTTATTCCCTCTTTCAGACATAAGGGCAGGGATGGTGTTTTCTTTACCTTTGTAACCTCCAAAGGATGGAGCTACAAGATTGTGCATAGCAGGTGCTCTAGAATTTTTTTTCTTGAATAAATATTGAGTGAGTCACCATCATCCCCCAAAGTATGAATTAAAACTGACTTGTGCCAGGTACCAATAAAAACTAAACAAATAGAATATGCTTATCATCTAACATGTAGAATACAGACATGGAAAAATATGGATTTCTCCCCACCCCCCCATCAGAGGGGAAAGATTTGATGTGTTATAATTGCTTATCAGAAAAGGAAGGAATGGCTTTGTTATCTTGCTTCCATTTAGCTTGGGAAAAATTTCTGTGGAGAAGGCAGGATTTTGAGAACACTTCAGGATTATAGTAAAGAGAATCTGCCATGGTATAATATACAAACAGTTTAATGTAGTTCTGGGATATTTGAACAAAACAGGAGATCTGATTTAATTCACTGAGTAGATAAGAAGTAGAGCAATGCAGGAAGAATCCTGCTAGCTCACAGCTGGATGAGGGCCTTAAAGCTATGTTTGAGGATGGCTTCCTAGGAAGTATGGTTTTACAGAACAGCTATTAGTTTCTAACTCATAAGCACCAACATTTCATTGTGGGTAAAATAAGTCACACATAAAAGGCAAAGTGCTTTATAAATTAATATACAACTTGATAATGGACACTGCAAGTATAACCTTTATTTGTCTCATAAAACATAATAATAAAAAGATGTATTTCAGGGAGTACCTATGGATTTCAATACTTTTTAACTTTAGAAGTTTAGCCATTATTTTTTAGAAGGCTTGCATACATACCCTAAGAAGCTTTTTCTTTGAAGTGGATAGAATACTGGCCCTGAAGTCAGGAGGACCTGATTTCAAATCCAGCCTCAGATCAAACACTTGACACTCACTAGCTGTGTGACCCTGGGCAAATCACTTAACCCCAATTGCCAAAAAAAAAAGCCTTTTCTTGTAAAAAAGTGTGAATAGAATTCTCTATCTTACATTTCCCTGTGACTTTAATTATTTATGTTCTTTCCTTAGCAGATCTCATAATTAGCCAATTATATATGTGTGTGTGTGTGTGTGTGTGTATATATATATATATATATATTATATATATATATATATATATATATATATATATATATATATATATATATATATATATATATATATATATATATATATATATATATATGTTTCATTAATCATTTGCTGCTCACTGAGGACAACTGGGCCTAATCACCTGTGAAGATGGAACTCTCAACATATCAACAATGTGCTTATTTCCCTTTATTTCTTTTATGTTTTATAACAAAAATAAAACAGGAAAAAACCATTTGTATTAAAATCACCCTTATTTGTGGACATGTCCATAAAGTTTTTGTTTTTCAAGAACATATAAATAGGGGAACTAGGTGGCTCGGTGGGTAGAGTACTAAGCCTGGAGTCAAGAAGGCTTGAGTTTAAATCCAGCCTCAGACACTTCTAGCTGTGTGACCCTGGGCACTTGTTTGCCTCAGTTTCCTCATCTGTAAAATGAACTGGAGAAGGAACTAGAAAACCACCCAGTATTTTCACAGAAAAAAACCCCAAATGCAAATGGGGTCATGAAGAGTTGGACAGGAATGAAATGGCTGAACAATAATTAGACCATTAAATCTGGTATTCTTTAGCTATATGGACTTTGCTTACCAACACTATTGCAACCTTGCTCATTTAAAATATTCCATTAACCATCTTTTTTAAGGTAATATTACCCCTGAAAGTTCTATCCTTTGGACTGCCAATTACTGTGATAAAATGTATAGTAACAACATGCTTGAATCCACAATTTCAAAGAAGCCTACATATATATATATATATATATATATATATATATATATATATATATATATACATACATACATACATAAATGTGTGTACATATCTAAATTTGTCTACCTGTCTATATTATAGTGCCATATTCTTATTATTTTCCAGCTGCATATGGGGTAGCGTGAATAAAGAAACAATATGCAATGACAGTAAGAAGTAGCATCGTACATTGGAAATTGCATTGGATATATAATCTGAGTGCCTAGGTTTGAATCTTGGTTCTTCCACTTACTAGCAGTGTGACCTGGGGCGTGTAATTTTTTTTGGCCTCAGTTTCATCATCTGTGAAGTGAAGATGCTTCACTAGGTCACCTCTGAGTTGTCTTCCACTTCTATTATCCTATTTTAAGGGATTGAGATTTTGTATGTGTTCCCCAGCTCAGTTGAAACAGTCACAAGATGTGTTAATACACTATTATCCTTTTAGGAAGTACGTATATCTTTCTGATTGAGTCATAAGGCACCAAGTAATTGGACAGTAATGATTGGCCTTGCCCCTAGGTGATCCTTAAAGGTCAATCAAATCAATTTGAGCCAATAGTCAGGGACAAACCCAACTCTTCACCTTTTTGGGGGTGATGACAAGATTTTCTCTCCCTCTTTGCCTTTCCTCCACCATGGTGTCTAGCAGTTGAACTACGCTCTGAGAAAGAGACACCTCATCTCACCGTTGGGGAGTCAATTGGAGAAGCTCAAGGCATAACTGATGGAACAGAAACATACAGTTCAGAAAGATACAGATACAGAAAGACAGTCAAGCAAGGCTGGAATCAATCAATTAATAAATATTTATTTAACTCCTACTATGTGCCAGGTACTGTGCTAAGCTCTGGGGATACAAAGAGGCAAGAGACAGTCTCTGCCCTCAAAGAGCTTACAATTTAATAGGTGAGATAACATGCAAAATAAAAACACAAAACAAGCTATAAATAAGAAAAAATAGGATAAAAAGGAAATAATTGACAGAAGGAAGGCACTAGAGTTAAGAGAGGCTGGAAAAGGCTTCCTGTAGAAGATGGGATTTTAGTTGCGCCTTAAAGGAAGCCAAGGAAAGCAGTAGGTAAAATGAAGAAGCAGAATGGTCCAGGCATGAGGAGTCCCAGAAAACAATGCTGGCAGCCAAAAGGTAAAAATCTTTCTTTCTTTTTTTGGTGAAACAGCCAGGAGGCAAGTGTCACTGGATTGAAAAGTACATGTGAGGGTGCAAAGTATAAGAAGACTGGAAAGGTAGCAGGGGGTTAGGTTATGAAGAGCTTTAAATAGCATTTATTTATTTGATCTTTGAGGCAGTTGGGAGTCACTGGAGTTTATTGAGTAAAGTGCTGACATAATTGAACCTGCACTTTAGGA